AAAGGTAAAATAAAGGTATTCCCCATTGACAAGGTTGTCAAGTCATGTGCAACTGTAGGGGGTGGTGCTCATACTAAGCCAAAGAGCCAGCATTATCAAAGACTGCTTCGTGGTCATGTGGCCAGCAAGACTGTATGGAATGCTGTTACCTTCTCACCAAAGTGGTACCTATTTATCTATTTGTACTTTTACATGCTTTTGAACTGCTACGTTGGCAGAAGCTGGAAATAGTGACAGGAGCTCACTCTGTCACACAACACTTGGGCTTTGAACTGCCAATCTGATGATCTTGAGATCATCAGAGTCAGCGTCTTAATCACTGAGCCACAGCATATTAAAATACAAAACAAAACAAAGAACATTGTTTTATAGTTCAACCATTTATCTACCTGGCTCATTATTGTCTACACTGCTACTAGTTCTCTATACTTTAAAAATATAAGTATTTCCCCACAAGTATTACCCAGAGGTGCCAAGAAATTAACCTGGGAGTTTCCCCATGCAAAGTATGTACCCTATCACTGAGCTGTGGCTCAATAAGTTTGAGGCCAGCTTGCTTACAGAATTGTGATCAGCTTCCTCTTCTTTGACTTGTATCCAGTGCAGATGAGCCACAGTCCACTTACTAGAATGCCGGTAGTGAGAACCATTTACTAAGATGCAGTACTGTGAGCCCATTCCCCCAAAATGTGTGAGCAATAGAATACTTTGGTTTGTTGTGTTTTTACACTTTCATCCCATTGCAACTCAAATAATGAGTCGACTACTTTGTCTTCACTGTCCTTGTTTCTGAGTGGCTAGCCTTTTCTCTTCCTCTTGCCTGCTCAGCTAACTTCTCCTATGCCTGGATGCCTTGGACTGGTTAGCTTTTATTCTACAGTAGAGCTGGGTAATTATGGCTCTCCAGAAGTTTTTAGCCTACAAGTCCCATAAACCCTAAACAGCATAGCCCAAGGTAAAGGATTATGGGAACTGCAGCCCAACAACTGAAGAACCACAGAACCAACTGTTTACAACACTGCTCTAACACAGTTGGTGATGCTCCATAGAACAATGGATCATAAAAGAGACAGGAGTGTCACTGAATTAACAGCCTGTGATGTACCCTTGCTGTGCAGGCCAAGATGGCCTGTGTCACTCAGATACATTGGCTTTGTGGAGTCTTGAGTTAGAATTAGGGATGTAATTCTTCACTAAGTCTCGTTTTGATGGAATTTTAGCTCTAGCAAGTAATTTTAACTCTTCCCAATGTGAGAAAAATCAAAGCCTATTCACAATTCCAGACTAATTCTGGGCAAAATGTACACAGTACATTTTCTGTGCATTTGTTACACTGTACATTTTCTATGTATTTTATGTGTAGGAATCATTGTTTCCATATCATTTTCTGTGCATGAAATGCTACTTCCTGTGTAGAAAATGTTATTTCCTGGGCAGAAAGTGCTGTTTTCTGTACAAAACAATCACATACAATATTTGCACAGATAAGTCCTGAACTGTGAAGATTCTTGGCAGTCCAAGATTCCTCTCATCGTTTATCAGCACTTGGCAATTTCCCAATTATTTTTGAATATTCTTTCCATCCCTGGTCAGAATGAAAAGAATAAGCAAAGTTAGCCAACTGGGAGAAAAAGGAAGAATCCAGGAGCAACATCAGACCAAAGCAACATACTTCTGAAAAATTTCAGTGGCCAAGTTCAGTACATGTTTAAGACTCAAATTCTAAACACACTTACTTGGAAGGAATACATATTAAATTCAATAAGCATTGTTTCCAAGTAAACATGCAAAAGTTTGTCCATAAATTTTATATTATTCAAATCTATACAGTTTTCAAAAACGCTATGATCTGGAGATCATTTTGTGGCATGGGACTCATTTTTTGGCATTGAGCAAACACGGGTTTACTCTTAGCTAGCATAAGTCCCAGTGCAGATAGAGACAGACACTGGAGACATACCATCATTCTGACTCCAATCTCTTGAAGAAAACAAAAGGCTTGTTCATTTTGTTTTTATTTAATTTAAAAAAATTCCAAGTAATCGCAATACCATTTAAATACATAGATTTACAAATATGTCCAAAACAGGACTAAAATATTCTTTGAATATTGTGCTTTCATAGATACATATGAAAATTAGCATAGAAAAATACTTTACAAGGAATACACTCTAATATATGGATAAAAATACACATTTAAGTAATGCATTTCATTTTCATATCATTCAAAATGCATAGGAAGGGATACAAGGACCATTTTTAAAGCCTTATTAAAAGTTTTCATTAAAAACCTATTTGAAGCCATGTTGAGCTTCAGCCATTTTGAGAATATTGCATATAAAACCCCCTTTTTCTGCTCAACTGTCAATGCTCTGCAGCTTCTTTTATGGCACATTATCTAGGTTATGGCAGCAATGGTATGGAATATTGCATACTTTGAGAAGAGAGAATGGCTACAGCTAGAGACAGCCCAATGGAACTCCATGCACATCTTAAGAAAATCACTGATACTTTGATATGGCCCAGGAAGAGAAATAGCAAAAGAAAAAAAAGAAAAAGAAAAAAAAAGAAAAGAAAGAGTAGATGCAATCACAACTTGGCTTGAACTCAGACTTGGCAACCAGCCTTGGCTTAACACTGATCTAATGGAGAAGGTTCCCAACCTATGCCAAAACATGGCATCTTAATAATGTATCAAATAAGTATTAAAAAACAGAACAAGAACAGAACACAAGAGAAGAGCCAGTTTCCCAAATCAGGAACTTATTAAAGTTCTGGGGGTGTGTGTGTCAATCAAATAATCATCACAATAAAGTGCTATTTCAG